ATTAATTTATTGTGGCTATACTGTACTACGTAATCGATTCATTTATCGAACTATTTAAAATATTTATTTATTTTATAGTATTTTCTGAAAAATACCACTATTCATATCACTCATCTGAGTGCAACTCAGAATATATAAGAGACCAAACAAGTGTTGAAGAGTTGGTGCTGTTAAAGAGAATGTAGTGGGCAGAACCATATACTCTCTTTCTGTAACTTTTTATTTATTTATTTTATTTTTTTAAATTTGGTATAATTATTAATTTGAAGTGGAATTCTTTATACACTCCAATTTTTTATTATTATTTTTTTTTTTTTTATTTTTTTAAAAAGGAACTCTGAAACAATAATAACGCGCGTCGATCGAGTAAATTCCACTCGCCTACAATAGACTATAAATCATAGGAAAAATGTGTACCGTATTGAATAAATCATGTATGACGAGTTCGATTTAATCAAACAGTATATGCGCACATTCATGTATATAATCACTTTGGATGCGTAAATTATAATTAAATTAGTAGAATTCGAATAATTTTATTAACAATAATATTGTGGTTCGTGGTTTTACTAATGAATTGAACATAACACTAATCATGTCGATCGCATTAATCGTACTCGTTTGACTTAAATATTGTTAATTTAATGCAATTAGGAAAATAAAATACTATTAGTCAAGGCACTAAGTCGATACTCAAATTTAATAACAACATAATCTGTACGAAATGACACGTTAATCAAGTACTAATTACGTTTCCATAGAGTAATTAGTTTATTGATTAATTAACTGGCAGATTCCTGGATTAAATGAACATATACAAGGTAGTCAAACTCAGAATCAGTCCATTGGTTTAGCATATATGCCTTCATTTATCAGGGAATTTTATACTTTCGGCTATGTATCAATTAATTTAATATTAATGGTGTTATATATTTTATCGATTAATTATTTAATTAATATTTATTGTATTATTATATCTTGTACGAGTGATAAATTTTTTTTTAATTAGCCAAGACATTCTTGATCAACAAATCATTTCTTGAGTTGACTTAGCATGAAAAGATTGCATTAACTATATAATTACTGTTGGTAGTGCAGCATCTTGCTAATTGAAGATATTATAGTAATTAAACTTCTAATTAATCTATTTTTTTAGACCTTAATGATGTTCTCCGAGTATATTGAATTAATAAAATTAAAATAAAAAAAATCATTTAATTCATAAAATATACTTACATGTAGCTCCAAAGTGCATTCCCATGCTGTAGATGATCTTAGAAGGTCGTTAATGTTTGGTTCGAATCAAATGAAATCGACTACAACATTTAAAATACTCTTGTTTGTAAGTTTCGATAGAACGATGACGGTTGTAAATGGGCAGTGGGGGCGGTGGGGGTAGCGGTGTACAAGTCCGGTGGTGGTGCGGCGGTTGTGCAGTGATTGGATAGCCCATCGGCCGGTTTTGAGGAGAGGGAGGGTATTTTTTATTTATTTTTTGTATATTTTAATAGGTGATATTTTTGTATTTTCAGTTAATATGTACAGTTAAACCTCTATAAATTTATATAGTTGGGACCATCAAAATTCCATTAATTTAGCGAAATATTAACTTATCGATAAATTAATAAGTATTAATTTATACATTAATTAATTTATGAAATTATTTTTATTATTATTTTCAATAAATGCATTTTTTTTAATGTTTTTACGTGTATATTATTCATTGTACCACTAGTTCAGTGCACTATAGAGCTCGTTTCACGAACAGAAGCTCTTAAAGCAGCAATGGTATAGAACAATTTATGTTGAGCTATGAGAAAACTATACCGAAAGTTCTAACTTCTAACCATGTTAAGCAAAGTAAGTGACGGGATTGATAGTAATGTGAATTTCAACAAGAAACAAACGACAATTAAATTATATTGCATTAAGGCTTCATAGATATATAAAATATGCATTGTACCATGTAATTTAAGAATTATTTTTAAGCATTATTAATTTATATATTATATGAGGCTTCTTAAAATTTTCGAATGTGTATTATCTTATAAATTTAGCGAATTATTAATTTAGCACGTTGTCCCCGAGTCGGATTCGGGAAAGTTTATTATTTAAGCGAGGTTATTAATTTATCGAGGTTCTACTGTAGTTGGTATTAAACTAAGAAAAAATTGAAAAAAAAATTGTATTAGGTCCTCAACTAATAGGTATTAAACTAAGAAATATTTGGTATTTGTTAAATCGTATATAGATATATTTAGATTTTTTCTTGACATATTCAGATATATCGTTCATCACAGTTCAAATTTCGAAAAATCTAAACTATTAAAGTTGTAGATTTCGGAGTCAACTATTCAAAGCAACTTGAGTAAAAATCATCTGAAGGTTAAATGAAAAAAATTAAATCTAAAAATAAAAAAACATACAATATAATTAAATTGTACACTCATCGAGATATTCGACCATATAGCATCAAATTCGCTTCGTTTTATTAATTTAGGGAGCCTATAATTTAGGCTCCTATGTTATTGTCGACCAATATGTGACTCTTAAGAATGTGACAAATTGAAATTAAAAAAAAAAAAAAAAATACATAAAAAAAAAATTAAAAAAAAGTAAGGCAATAAGATAAGGGAAGAGGAATCTGAGTTGTATAGCTGTACAGGGGGACAAGGAGAATCAAGGGTTCCATAATATTTTTCATTAAATCACCATCCAAATATCCAATCACAAATTTTTTTTTACCAATTTTAATGTCCTTACATTATCAATGTATATTTTGTCTGCCCAAATTTAAGTTTATATATTCGATTAGGTTAATCAAAAATCCAGAAAAGTGGATTTCATCCACTTTAATTTGGCGGTCATACGATCGGCTAGGTCATTGAGATATTACACCTCGTTGTATACATCGGGTGAATTTTAATTATTGACCGGATTAAATATCAACGGTTAATAATCACCCGTGGATCTCTACATCAAATAATTGATAAAATATTTTTTTATCTTTTGTGTGTATTGAGGTATATATTGAGATGAATGGGTTTTTTCAGAATTTTAAAATAATTAATATTATCTTTATGTATGTTAACTAATAGTGTCACTAACTATACATTAAATTATATTATTTTAATTAATATTGTTCTTAAATAAAATTACTCACAAACTACTGTAGACCCACTAAAAAGAAAAAAAAAAGAAAATCAACATCACAAACTTTTGAAATACCAGTACAATTTAATACGTATCAGCATGTACTACAATTAATATATATTATTTATATATATTTGATATGTATACATACAAAAAAGGCTATCAAAATCTTTGGTCCCTATATATAATATATATATGACGTGACTCCATGCATCGTTTCCACATACATTATTCCCACATTATTTAAATTCCCTTTGCACTCACACTATCACACACATAAATAAATAAATATATATATATAAATATATTATCTCTAGTGTGGTTTGAAAATTATTGTGCAAAAAAAAATATATATATATATTCAATTATAATATACTATTGGTTGTGATATTTTACCAAAATAATGCACATAAAATATAGCTTGCTTACATATATAGTCTTTCTTAGAGTGTCCTTAAATAATAAAATTTAGCATAATTTCACTTTGCACCCTCGAAATGCATCATTTTGGCAGTTTGCACCCCTAAAAACAAGTTATGATACTTTGCATCTTCAAAACATATTTAATCGTTCAAAATGCACCCGCCTTTATTTTCTGGTCATATTTTCTGGCATTGGCTAATTTTTTTATCATCTCTTCATCAACTTTTACTGCAGGGTGCAAAGCTATAATGTATTTTCCAGGGTGCAAAGTATCAAATCTATTTTTTTTGCGGGTGCTACATGATTTTTTTTAATGAAACAAAGTCTAATATCTTTGAAGCTATTAGAAATTAGACAATATATTTAAACCGGCAAATACTTGATTTTAAATTTGTATTGTCCAATCAGAAAATACAACCGAAAAATAGAATATGATGCATTATGAACGATTAAATATGTTTTGAAGGTGCAAAGTATCACAAATTTTTTTAAGGGTGCAAACTACGAAAATAGTGCATCTCGAGGGTGCAAAGTGAAAATTAAGCCATCTCACACTTAACATGTAGTGCAAGAATAGTAAGTTGCGAGCTCAAATTTAACTAACTAGATAAACAAATTCATTTGTATGTATGTAAATTGAATTGAATATTGTATGTCTAGTGATTCTCAAAGTATATAAAAAATAGATAGAATAATAATGTTTTGTCTCTTATATTGGAATTATTAATAATAATATAATATTATTTGGGTGGCCAATCATACATTGTGGCTCTTAAAAAGTGATTCTTTTGCTTCCTTCTTAAGCCATTTTCATCCAATCATCAACAAAATTATGCTTGACCTAATTGTAATATTGCTAAATATTCTTTTCATGTTTAACCCTATCCTTTTTTGTCCTTATTAAGCTCCCACTTTTAGGATTGATTAACTATCCTTTATATAATATAGGTAATGTTTTTCACTAGTAAAATCATATGAAAAACATTATCAAAATTCAGAATGAAAAATATTATTCCAAAGTTAATTTATTTTTTAATCAAAACCAGCGAAATTCATAAATTCCGTTGATATTTCTGACACATAGGTAACATCTCATGTAATCGTACTCAAATTTATCCAATTAGAAATTCGTCTCTCAAAATATCACATATGCATTCAAATTTATCTGCAAATATAACTTTATATTTATACCAAAAAAAAAAAAAAAAGAGGAATAGAATCCCATTCAAATTTATCTAAAAAAAATTTCAAGGAGAAATATCATCCACTCCAATTTAATTCTAGGATATTTGTATATTTGAATTATTGAAAATAAAATAAATATATAGTAGTAGTAGTAGTGGTGAAAAAGGAGTGAGAGTGAGAGAGAACAAATGAAATTAAAAAGGCACTTTTATTATTATAATAAAATAATATATCATGGTGGCGTAGGCAAAACTAAAGAGTGGGTCCCACAGCATATTTCATCTCCTACAAATAGCAGACCACTCCACACCCTTTCCAATTGCAATCAACACAAACACAACAAACACCATCATCATCATCATCATCATCATCAATTCATCATCTCTTACAATATTGTGTCTGATCCTCTCTGCATACTGCTTCTCTGCTAAATTTTAGGTATTATTTGTTTTTTTGTTTGGTTTTTTGGTTTGAATTGTTTTTTTTATTTTTATTTTTTTATTTTTTGGCTCTGGTTTCTGATAAGAGAATGATTTTGTTCTGCAGAGAAAAAGGAGGTGCACGGAAAGTTACTGACGAAATGCCTGCGAGAAAGAACATGAAAAACAACTTGATCCCATCTTCACCGATGAAGGTGGTTCATCTTCACAAAGAAGAAGAAGCACAAATGAAACAAGGGATTGTCACCATTCTTGGCTCCGATTTCTGCCATGGAAACAAACCTGGCGGAGCTTCCATTAGAAGAACACTCTCTGCTGACATGTCATCCAAGAAATGGCTTCAGCAAAACGGCTTCTACTCCCCCGCCGTTAAAAAGATCCCTTCTTCTTCTTCGTCTCCTCCTTCTTCATCTTCGTCGTCTTCTTCGTCATCGGAAAGCGAAGAAGAATACGAAGAAATAACAGCACCGGGGCAAGACGATGTTTGGAGGGCAATTCAGGCAAAGAAAGAAAGAGATGATGAAGAGATGAAGAAGAAGAAGCCACTACAGATGGATTGTTGGGGTACCATGCTCACTCACAAGAGTGAGAATTCTGCTGCTCTTCTTGCAGCGGCTGCCACCGCCCCTCTGCCGCCGCCTTATGTTCATCCACTCGTGAAGAGATCGGCGAGCACTTTGAGTGAAAAAAGCCTTGAGATTTGCACCGAGAGTCTTGGATCAGAAACTGGTTCTGATTGCTTTTCTGCAGAAACTGAAGATCAAGAGAAGTTGGTTGTGATGCTGCCGGTGGTGGTCGGAGATTCGAACGATCAGTTTGCGGATACGCATGTGGCCAAGTACAAGAAGTCGCCGACACGGCCTTTTCCGCCGCCTCTTCCTTCAATCGCCGGCGGCGATGGGTCGGCGCTCCACGTGCAGTCCCACCGGGAAAATGGGAGGCTGGTTCTTGAAGCTGTTTCTGTCCCTCAGAGAAACCATTTCCATGCTCAACGTTGCGACGGCCGCCTTGTTCTGACTCTGGCCCACGCGCCGTCCGCTTGTGAAGTGACGTTGGTAGAAGAAGTGTTTGATAATATGGAAGATGTCGATGAAGATGTCGTTACCTTTGCGGAGGAGGAGGAGGAGAAGGTGGATGACGGAGGCGGAAACGAGGGTTACGTGGCGGCGGAAGAGAATTTCTTCCAGGCCCAAAGTCCTCAAGAAGCTAAAGAGCATATATAGGTGGAGCCAAACTTATCGCTTCCTAGTGGAATTATGAGTTTGTATAATCTCGAATGGTGATAAAAAAGCTGATGGCGGTAGGGAATATGAATTCGAAATGTCCCAAATCTCAAAAGGACCAGCTAGTAGCGGGTGAAGGGGGGATTTTTTTTTTTTTTTTTTTTTTTTTTTTTTTTTTTTCTTTTT